CCAGGCGGCCTGGCCGGCCCGCGCGTCGCCGTTCGCGGGGGAGGGCCCGGAAGGAGGCGGCGCTGGCCCTCGGGGGATGGGGCCAGGCGGAAGGCGTGACCTCCCCTCGGGTGCGGGTGACGCCTCAGGATGGCCGGGGAGCGACCCCCTCAAGTGGCATGGGCTCTGCGGGGAAGGGGTGACCTCCTCTTGGGGAACCAATGACTCCCCTCAGAGGCCGGGGCCAGGGGATGAGTGGGGTATGAGTGACCGCCTCAGGAGTGGCAAGGTGAGGGAATGACTCCCTCCGGAGCGCCCGGGAGGACGAGTGAGCCTCTTAGGGGAGGTAAAGCCCTCCAGGAGACAGGAGAGTTACCTCCTCAGGGGGGCCCAGGTAGGCGTGTAACGAGCGACCCCCTTAGGGGGTCCCGGAGGTACGAGTGACCTTGTGTGGGGGGCAGCTTAGGAGAAAGAGCAATCACTCTGGAGGTCCAAACTTGTGCGGGCTCTATTGGGGGTGCTGGGGGAGCCGGGGGCAGTGCTGCTTTCTCAACCTCTGGGGGAAAAGCCGAAATATTAGGTGACCTAGGAGCCCTTGGCCACAGCCACACATCCCCTAAAACGCCCCTCTTGGAATTGAAGCCAGGGCGCGTCCCTACTCCAATTCAGATACTTCCTTAGTTGCCGGACAGGGGAGGAAGCAGTCAGAGCTAGGTGAGAGGAGGGTGTCTGCGGCCATCCTTTCAACTGAGAACGTTTTATCACAGCTTTAGGGAAACTTGGAAAATAGAGGGAAAGTGGAGGAGGCACCCAGAGTTCCACCACTTGAACATAATTTTCCATGTTTGTTCATTCTCTTCAGGTGTGTTTTCATAGGGATGTTTCATATTTAGTTTCCTTAATTCATTCAACAAGTATTAGTAAGTGCCCTCCATATGCCAGGCACTGTCCAGTGAACAGAACAAGCCCAAGCCGCCTGCCTTTGTGGAGTATACATTCTAGCAGGTAATTGTGTATAAAATTTTAGTTCATAATCATAGTCAACGATGGTGCTTTTCATTTCCTGATTCACACTACTTATTTTCCATGTTACTGCAGACTCATCATAATGATCATTTTTAATCTATGGACTGCTTCTTCCAGAGGGTATGCCATGATTTCCCTGACCTCATCTGATTGCTTCTAGTTTGGGGATCCTATGCATAATCTTTGATACAACATTTTAGTTCATTTCCTGGATTGAGATTACTAAGCCACACCACCTTGTTCTTCCAAATAGAGAAAGGTGAATAATAAGACAATTTGACGAAAACAGCGTCTGCCTCTAGAGATGGAATTATTGAGTTAGAGGGAGGAACAGAGCTGCCACCTGCCTCAGTCCAAAATGGTCCCAGGAAAAGGTGATGACAAGTTAAGTGGATTTTATTCATTCATTAGACAGATATTTACTAAGTGCCTGTTGTCTGCTTGGCCGTGTCCTTGATGCTAGGGATATGAGAGTGAATGGACAGATGAAGTCTGCTGAAGTGGGGCTTGGTGCAGTTGGGAGGGCTTAAATTCTATATAGAAAAGGAAAACCCAGCTGCTAAATTCTCATTGAAAGGGAACTTAAAAATGCTTTTCCTTAAGAGTCAAAACACATTTCCTGCTCTCTTTAATACTTATCCCATAGTCATGAGATGGTCTCAGCCTTACAGATCTTGAGTTTAAATGGTATGCCTGCATTTTGGAACAAAGTCAATTAAGAGAAATGTAGAAATACAAGTTTTCCTAAATTACTAGTTGGTAACATATCCTTAGACCCAACCAGAGAAACCAGTCCTGAAAAATGATTAGGAAAAGAAAGTTATTTCATTTACACCTTTGCCCTTAGTTTATCTCTTTTTAAAAACAGCTTTCTTGAGGTATAATTGACATACAATAAACTGCACATATTTAAAGTGTACAGTTTTCTAAGTATGACGTGTACACCCATGAAACCATCACCACAGTCAAGATAGTGAATATATCCAATGTCCTAGCCAGAGTAATCTTAGTTTATATAAAGTGACTGCTGAATACAGTTGGGACTTTTCACATACATATGTCTTAATTACCTTCAGTTGCATATTTGTTGTATAGCTTGACTGAGTATAGTCAGTTATTGAGCAACTTTGGGAATTGAGTTTAAAAAGAAATGATTTTCAGTAAAGGGGCCAAGACAGTTCAATGAGGAAAGAATAGTCTTTTCAACAAATGGTGCTGGAACCACTGGCTATTTACATGCAAATGATGATGTTTGACCCCTACCTCTTACCATATATAAAAATTAACTCAAAATGGACCAAAGACCTAAATGTAAGCTAAAACTATAAGACTCAGATGAAAACATAGGTGTAAATATTTGTGACCTTGGATTACGCAATGTTTTTTTTGATATGACACCTAAAGCACAGGCGACACAAGAGAAAGTAGATAAATTGGACTTAATCAAAGTTTAAAACTTTTGTGCTTCAAAGGATACCATCAAGAAAATGAAAAGACGACCCACAGAATGGGAAAAATATTTACAAATCATGTATCAGATAAGGGTCTAGTATCGTAAACATCTTAACTAAGAGTTCTTTAACTCTTATAACTCATCAATAAGATGACAACCCAATTAAAAATGGGCAAAAGATTTGAATAAACATTTTACAACAAAGATACACAAATGGTCAATAAGGACATGAAAAGATGTTCCATATCACTAGTCATTAGGGAATGCAAATCAAAATCACGAGATCCCACTTCATCCTATTAGCGACTATAATCAAAATGATGGACAGTTTAAAAGATGGCAAGGCTGTGGAGAAATTGGGAGACTCATAAGCTGCTGGTGGGAAAGTAAAATGGTCTAGCTGCTTTGGAAAACAGTTTGGCAGTTCCTCAAAATGTTAAACAATTATCATATGACCTAGCAATTCCATTCCTAGGTATATACCCAAGAGAACTGAAAAGATATGTTCATGCAAAAACTTGTGCATGAATGTTCATAGCGTTATTCATAATAGCCAAAAAGGAGAAATAACCTAAATGTCCATCAACTGATGAATGGGTAAATAAAAGGTGGTACATCCATACAATGGAATATTATTTAGCCATAAAAAGGAACGAAACACTGATACATGCTACAATGTGTGTGAACCTTGAAAATATCCTAAGTGAAAGAAGCCAGGTACAAAAGGCCACTTATTATATGATTCTGTTTATATGAAATGTCCAAAATAGGCAAATCCATAGAGACAGAAAGTACATTAGTGGTTGCCTAGGGCTAGGGGAAAGAAAGAATGGTGGAGAGATTGCTAATGAGTACAACATTTCTATTTGGGGTGATGAAAATGTTCTGGAAATTAGATAATGGTGATAGTTGCAGAACACTTGTGAGTGTACTTTATAAGTCACTGAACTGTACATTTTAAGTGAGTGGGTTTCATGGTATGTGAATTATATCAAATTTAAAAAAAAAAAGAAACAGGGAGTAGACAACCAAGGCCTCAGAAAAAAAAAAAGGTTCATACCTCACAATAATGGGGCCAAACCTTATGTTCTTTCTTCGTAGGGGAGCACCTCAGGCCCTTTGTTTTAGATAAAGTTCTAACCGTCTGAGTTATCTGGCTCCTTTGTTGCATATTAAGCCAGTTTACCACAAAGTTCTTCCTCTAAAAACTGCCCTTCCTCACAGAGGTGCCACAGCAGCCATTTTTATGCTGTGTGACCTTATCATTTGGACCACAGGGGGAACTGAACCCCAAAGTGCCAATCTGATTCTCTCTCTGGGACTGTGGCACTGGGAGAGAGGCAGCTTTTTGTTTTCTCCAAGTGACTGGAACTGAGTTGACGTAACCTCGGGGCTGTGGCAGAGTCACGTTCATGGAGAAGCCGAGAAGGGGAGTCGGCAGAAGCAAAAGAAAGAAACAGACGGGCAAAGGGACCCAAAGGTGAGGGGACTAAGAAAATGGCCTCTTTGGGGGCCGGCCCCGTGGCTTAGCGGTTGAGTGCGTGCGCTCCGCTGCTGGCGGCCCTGGTTCGGATCCCGGGCGCACACCAACGCACCGCTTCTCCGGCCATGCTGGGGCCGCGTCCCACGTGCAGCAGCTGGAGGGATGTGCAGGTATGACATACAACTATCTCCTGGGGCTTTGGGGGAGAAAAATAAATAAATAAAATTATTAAAAAAAAAAAAAATGGCCTCTTTGGTTTCTGCTGAGTTCCTGGTTCTGCCCCCTTGGTTCACTTTTGCGCTTAAGGTACCCCTAAACCTTATAATGTTCATTTTTTTTCGTAAGCTAGTAGGCTTTGGAAACTTGGAATTGAAAGGACTTTGGCTATGGTGCAAGGTTCTGAGAGATGAAACATGTACTGTTGCCAGTAATGTGGGTGTTAAAACAAGTGTTTGTATGAATGCAGCAAACTAGGGGTGGGATGCCCTGCTTGAGGCCACCTATACTAACAGCAGCAATAAATAAGTAGCCCATAAAAAGAAATAAGTCCCTATAAAAAGCAGAGCCAAGAACTCCTAAAAACTCATCAATCTGGGACCGTTTAGTTGACAGGCTGACCTCGGTGCACCGTAGGGCGTCATTTGGTTAGAGCCTGGTAAGAATGATGTTGTTACAATGGCCTTGAGCCACAAAAGGCCAGTCAAATGAAGTTCAGGAGTATCTTCAATGAAAAAGTGTTTAAATGTTGAGGCATTTAAAGATGTAAGATTCAGGGGCCGGCTCACTGGCGTAGTGGTTAAGTTCATGTGCTCTGCTTCATCGTCCTGGGGTTCACAGGTTTGAATCCTGGGCACAGGCTGACGCACCACTCATCAAGCTATGTTGTGGTGGTGCCCCACATAGAAAAAAGAGGAATATAGGCACAGATGTTAGCTCAGAGCCACTCTTCCTCAGCCAAAAAAAAAAAAAAGATGTAAGATTCACTTACCTGACACATAGACATTGTGAAATACGTCATTGTATAACATAATGATAGATACATGTGGTCCAAATGTTTAATTATATATACCTCCTAAAACAGCACATCCCCTAAATAAAGAACAAGTTGGTAGAAAAAGTGAGGAGTGAATTATTTTATAATTTTGCTGTTGCTTTCCCCATGGAATCCTTGAGACTGAAGCTGTTGTGGAACATAGAAGAAAAAAAACCCCTGACTTATCTAATAGGCCATGTGCCGATCACAGATAATCCTCTGTGCTATTTGCTAGATCAGTGGATCTCAACCCTATCAGACCCAATGTCTCTTTAAAAAGAAATATTTTCTAATATCCTGTTAGGAGCCTTGAAAGAAATTAATATGGAATATAATCTACCTACACTCAAATATGTATATATATGTAAATATGTATATATATTTGGTTTGTATTTTCGTAATGATTAGTGATATTGAGCTTTTCATGTGCTTATTGGCTATTTGTACATCTTGGGAGAAATGTCTGTTCAGACCCTTTGCCCATTTTTTTTTTTTTTTCTGAAGAGGATCGGCCCTCAGCTAACGTCTGCCAATCCTCCTCTTTTTGCTGAGGAAGACTGGCCCTGGGCTAACATCTGTGCCCATCTTCCTCCACTTTACATGGGACGCCGCCACAGCATGGCTTGACAAGCAGTGCGTCGGTGCGCGCCCAGGATCCGAACTGGCGAACCCTGGGCCCGCTGCAGCGGAGCGTGCGCACTTAACCGCTTGCGCCACCGGGCTGGCCCCCCTTTGCCCATTTTTTAATTGGGTTTTCTCTTTATTTAAGTTGTAAGAGTTCTTTATGTGTTCTAGATACAATTCCTTATCAGGTATATGATCTGCAAATGTTTTCTCCCATTCAGTGGGTAGGAGGAATTCCAGATTATTGAAATGGAGAAAACGGCAAGTATGATATTCTTGCAGATGAACTGGACCTATTTCTGTAACTCTGTCTTGAAATCCCAGCACATTTAGCATTTGGTCTCTAGGATGTGAAAAGACCTTGGAGACCACATCCTCCAATAGGCTACAGAGAATAGAGGATGGATAGGGAAAAAAAGCTAGGAATAGAAGAGGCGATGGAGCAGTTGTGAGGTCGGTCAGCCTGTGGGGACTGGGTCTGATATTACTGGAAACAAAGGTATTCAGGAGTGGACACTACGTGTGCCAGGCACTGGGATAGATATAAGATTGTTTGCTAGGTGTGCATCCTTAGACAGCTATTTACTTTTTGGGAGTCTGTTTCTTTATATGTGTTACTGTGTCAAGTATGAAATCATCTTTATGATAGTAATAACAACAGCTAAGACACTGCTAAATGCTTTATAG